CTTGCTTCCTTCACACACGTTACCCCTCCCTACTTCTCATCACACTCTACCTCTCACCCTTACTCCTACCTTACCAACCTCAGACGAGTCCCACTCTTCCTCACCTTCCTCACCATCTTCTTCATCTCCTCCTACACCTCATAGCACGGATACTGATCATTCTCCACATCCCCATGCTGCTGAGCCTAATCCCACTACTCTTGATCATTCTCCTATCCTCCCCATCGATCCCAACCCCACTCCACCAGTCCTTGAACCACCCTCCTCCCCCATTGGGCATCCTTTGTGCCACCGCACCATACCTGCCTACCTCAATGATTATGTTTGCTTGTAGGTTATGTTGCCTACACCCAAGCCGTTGCTTTCTTCATTGTCAAGCTCCACTAAAGGTACCAGGTATCCCTTGGACCATTTTCTTTCCTATCATCGTTACTCACCCACACATTTTTATATTAACCATGTTAGCTATGATGTGGAACCTCGTACATGTTGTTTATCACCCTCACTGGCAAGTTGCTATGCAATCTGAGTTGTAAGCGTTGGCTGAGAATCACACTTGGACTCTTACTCTTTTTCCTCCTGGCAAGTTTCTCATTGGTTGCAAATGGGTCTACAAGATCAAACATCGTTCTAATGGAACCATTGAGCGCTACAAAGCTCGTTTGGTCGCCAAGGGTTACACTCAGATGGAGGGTGTTGATTACCATGACTCTTTTCTCGCCCACTGCTAAAATGACCATTGTCTGTTGCTTATTGTCCATTGCCTCCACCCTTAATTGGTCCATTCATCAGCTTGATGTTAATAACGCATTCTTACATGGTGATCTTCATAAGGAAATCTATATGTCCCCACCTTTTGGTCTTCTACGACAGGGGGAGCATTTGGTACGACGCTTTCACAAGTCGTTGTATGGTTTGAAGCAAGCTTCTTGCCAATGGTTTGCTAAGTTCTCTCCTGCCATTAGTGCTACTAGTTTTGTACAATCTAAAGCCGATTATTCACTCTTCACTCATCGCAGAGAGACCTCTTTCACAGTTCTTTTGATTTACATGGATGACATCGTTATCACTGGAAATAATTTGGCTGCTAGTTCTTCCCTTAAAGCTTTTTCGCACAGTTATTTTCGAATCAAGGATCTTGGAGACTTAATATTTTCTGGGAATTGAAGTGTCATGTTCCCATAAAGGTATTTCCATTTCACAAAGGAAATACAATTTGGAGATCTTGAAAGATGTTGGCCTCTTGAGAGCACAACCAATTGACTTTCCCATGGAACAAAACTTGAAGCTTTTAGATAAAGGGGAACTACTCAAAGACATATCACAGTATAGAGAATTGTGGGGCACTTGATTTACTTGACGATAACTCGTCCTAACATCATTTATTCAGCGCATGTCTTGAGTTGCTTCATGCATGAGCCACGTAAACCTCATATGGAAGCAGTACTTCGTGTTCTAAGGTACCTCAAAGGCACACCAGGTCAAGGTCTTTTCTTTTCCTCACAAAACAAAATAGTTTTGAGAGCTTACTATGGCTTGGACTGGGCAGGTTGCCCGATTACTCGAAGGTCTGCTACAGGATATTGCATATTCTTGGGATCCTCCTTAATTTCTTGGAGATCAAAGAGACAGAAGACAGTGTCATTATCTTCAACTGAAACTGAGTATAAAGCTATGACAAGTGCTTGTTGTGAGCTTTCATGGCTTCAATACCTTCTTAGAGACCTAAATTTAGCACATATAGGGGCTGCAACCCTACATTGCGACAACCAAGCAGCTTTACACATAGTTGCTAACCCAATCTTCCATGAACAAACTTGACACATAGAGATTGATTGCCATTTTATCAAAGACAAAATTCAAGATGGTTCAGTATAACAAAAACATGTCTCTTCATCACAACAACTTGCAAATGTGTTCACAAAGGCGTTGGGAAATGATGCTTTCTCAGCTGTGTTATGCAAGTTGGGAGTTCTAGATATACACTCTCCAACTTGAGGGGGAGTGTTGGAACGTCAACTCTATCCCACAAATTTAGGGATAGATTAGCAACGAAGTATATACTTTTAATTGTAATTGATTATAGTTGACTTTGTATAGAATAATTTACTTGATTGTATTCCTTGATTATAGGATCATATATGTATATATTTTTCAACTCAATGAATGAAAGAATTATTCTGGCAAACATCCTTTTGTCATTCTTTACAATACTTATATTATGTGCATATATTTATTTACGTATGCTTTCAAGTTTAATTATATTATGTTATCAAACTGTCAATATTTCAGTCATAATGATCTAGTATGAATGAGCAGATTCATGTGGTGGACTTTGTGATCCTTTGCATCGGGCGATTCAGCGACGTTCCAAACATTCCCGAGTTCCCTCCAAACAAGGGACCAGAAGCATTTCATGGAGAGGTTATACACTCCATGAAATTATGCCGACATGGATTACGAAAGCGCAGCTAAATTTGTGGAAGGAAAGCAAGTAACTGTTGTGGGATTTCAGAAATTTGCAATGGACATTGCGATGGAGTGCTCAATCGCAAATGGTAATTATACTAAACTGAGAATTTAAATGCCACGTTACACAAGTCCAAGAAGTAGCTCAGCAATAATTTGACCATTTTAATAGATTGTTTGTGTTGCATTTTCCCTTAATTCAATAGTTGGTAATATTCAGGGGTTGAAAATCCATGCACAGTGTTGTGTACAAGACAGAACACTGGAATCTTCCTGGCTATCTTCCATGGGGCTTTCCCATCGCATACTTATACTTCAATCGCTTCTCGGAGCTCTTGGAACACAAGCCCGGTGAAGGCATCCAGCTCAGTCTCCTTGCAACAATTATTTCACCTGTGGTATACTTCATTTTGCTAACCCTAATTATGCCTTTTGATTGTGATGCTTATAGATAAAACTAACAAAACTTATAAGGATTGAACAGAGATGGGGGTTTTCGAAATTTGTCGAAAGCTATATAAATAAGAAGCTTGGTTTAGCCAAGTATGGAATGGTACCTAAGCACAGTTTCCTTCAAGAAATCAGTTCTTGTATGATAGCAAACAGTACCGGAAAAGTTCTTTGATCGAGTCCGATAGGGAAGCATCATACTGAAAAAGTCTCCTGGCGGCTTTGGCTTTTGCCAAGAAGGGATTCTGGTTAATGGTGAAAGCTCCCCTGTGAAGTCAGATTTGGTCATCTTGGCTACTGGGTTTAGGGGCGAGAAAAAGCTCAAGGACATGTTTGTGTCTCCCACCTTTCAGGACTACATCCTCGGTTCGCCTAAGTCCATATTACTCCTTTACAGGTTAAGCTTATTTCATAGACCATACCACATTTACTGATCACATCTCTTAGAGAACAAATTGTCTATTTGGGTCTAAATTTCGAATGACGTGCGATATGTAAATGTGGCACAAATGTTTCTGTTAGGTACTTTTATTAGATACAGCATTTGAATAAGAAAATCATGTATGATTTCATCTCAATCAGGGAATGCATACATGGAAGAATTTCACAGCTATCAGTAATTGGATTCTCCGAAAGTATTTCGAACTTATACACCTCCAAGATGAGGTGCAGTATGGCTAGCGGAGCTTCTCAGAGGCACATTTAAGCTACCAAGCATAAAAGAGATGGATAAAGATGTGGAAAAATGGGACGCATACGCAGTATGGCTAGTGAAGTGATTTTGAAAAAAAAGCTAGTATCAAAAAAAGCTGGGGGCATTTTTGTGTTTGATAAACTTCCAACTTCAGTTTTTTTTCACAGTTTTGGATGAAAAAAAGCCTAAAAACAGAAGCGGCAAAAGACAGTTTTGAAAAACTGGCTTTTCAACTTCTGCGCAAACCTTTAAAACACGGGTGAACAGTGACCCTTTAATCAAAGTTTCTGGCAATCCTACCCTCCCTTCATCTCTATCATCCCCTTTCTGCTCCTCCTAACTTCATCTTTACCAAAGATCTTTGAAGATTTGTGTCGCCCCCACTGTGAATCTATCTCGTCCCTCCCCATGAAGATCCGAATCGTCACCACCAGAGACCCACAAGGGTCGCCAGGAGGAGAGCATGGAAGAGATGGAGAAAGATGTGAAAAAATGGGACGCATACGGGAAGCGAAGCGATACACTTCCAGCCAATACTACCGGAGATCATGCACCGGTGCCCTCCATCTGTGGTACAATGACCAGTTGTGCAAGGATATGGGATGGAACCCCAAAAGAAAGAAGGGACTCTTTGCTGAATTGTTTGAGCCTTATGGCCCCATGGATTATGCTTCCTCTTGAAATGGTCAACATCAACATAATAAAAGATTAGTTTTCCTTGTATTTTGCTGCATAACAGCTCATGTTTGAACCTGTCGTTGTATTCAAGCACTTGTATTTTGTTGCATAAAAGTTCATGTTGAACCCATCGTTGTATTTAGGCAATGCATCTTTAAACTAAGATGACGGTTTTGTTCCTGATTTGCGTTTTATATTTCCAACCGAAACGAAAGCATGCAAATGGGTTAAATTCTGTCCCCTTTAGTTTGAAGCAACTCAATAAAAGGGTTGTAGTATCGAGTGGATTTCGAAGTATTTTTGTTTTATTTTTTAAACAAACGATATTATCTAAAAACTCGTTTGTTCAAACTCGCATTTGGCAATAATTGCCATGGTCACGGGCTTTTCAAAGTCCTTTTGTGTAGCTAGAAACTTTAGCACCAGCTTCCAACGCAGCTTCCAGTGGCTGGAGCGCCCAACGGCATGCCTCGTTGTCAAGCGTTGGGGATTTGGGAGGATCGACAACGGAAGGAGTGTGAATTTGGTGAAGTCAAGGCCAAGAGAGATGTATCCAAGAAGTAGAAGCTACATTGATTCCAGGAAAACAATCTCATGAAGACTTTAACTCCTGCGGTCTTATAACTAAAGTTTGGAATTGGACCGTATTTGCTAACATGACTCACCACGTGTTTATTATAACTTTTTCACCACGAGGATTGCGGTTAAAGTATGGTAAACTGTAATTTACAAGAATATATACTAAGGAATATTCATGTCTGTTTTTCGTACCTAAAAATTATCAATGAATATAAAAACGTATAATCATGTAATACAAATATTGAAACAAATGCGCAATTCGCAGCTGAAACCTCTCTTCGGCTTGTGGGAGATACTCGGCCTATGATGTCATTCAATCGAATTGATTTTGCCAATCTCAAGTGGCTAGCTGGGAAAAGAAGTGGATCATGCAGTTTTAGGCACATTCTAAAACCTGGAAACATGTTCCTAGTTCATAGTTCATATAAATCCTATCTCTAAATTTTAAATAAGATTTTAAAGGGAAAAATAGATGAGGCGGTGACAACATTAACTTTTAACAGCTTCATCGGCATATTCCAACTAGTCCGTCAAGAACCAGAGTGAAAATATTTTGCAGTTCTCGCAAAAATGAAAACGGAAAAATGCAGCATTACACGAATTTTGAATGTCCACTAACCTGAGCTGTCTGGAAATCCCTGTGCACGAACCACCACGGGCCTGATTTTGACAGATATCTGAAAGGAGAACAGAAGAAAAACAAAGATACGAATAAGCAGCAACAGAGATAGCGATGATGCTGATAAACGTAAAATCCAGAAATGAATAATCATTATGCCTCTTCTACTAGCAAAATAAGCAAATGATGTATTCATATTTTAGCATTAGAAGCCTTAGATTTTATTATCACCAGGAGTTATAAACCAGCCACTTACTTAAAGTTGGATTAGTTATCGAAAAGAGTATTATATTCACGATTAATGTTGATAATCAAAATTTGACATGGTATATTATTACCTGGCATAGCCTGCGACTGCGCGCAAGCCCATGAAGAGAGTCAAACCCAGCCAAACTCCATGAAGGCCAAAGATGGAAGGAGCATATAGCAAAAAATGCGGAAGATAATGCCCCCACTACCATCTATTAATAATAGAGATTTTGTCAGAACCAAAAACAGAAATATGTACACTTTCATAGTCAAAGTAATAATAAAATGGAAACAAGTAGATAAAGACTATGATGATAAAAAGAGCGTGTCCATACCTGACCAGATGCAGCCATTGCATCAGTTAGAAGGGATACAGCCAACCATACTTGAATACATACATATCTTATGAGCAGCCATAGCTACTGGACCTTGACGAGCCGCCATTGATGTTCCCAATGTCAAGGTCGTATGACAAGCAACAGTTCGTCCAAGAAGAAAACCACCTCCAACATCGCAGAGTTGTTACCAAAAGCAATTAGGTAAGAAACTTTGAATATGAAGACGAGAGAATTATCACTGGGGTAATGAAAGAAGTTTAACAACCAACACAAAGACAAAAGAAACATTAATATACACTGCCCCGATACATGTGCACTGAATCGGAAGATAAAGTGAAATACTATGATAGTCAAGAAAATCAACGAATCGGAGAGCTGGAAGAAAGCTGTATATATTCAGATAGATGAGAGTAAAACGTTCAATAAAAGGAAATAAACTTACCGGATTTAAGGTATCCACCAAATTGTAGTGATCCAACCTTCGGAGGCAATGGTATAGCTCTCTTATTTAGAAACCAGATCATTAAAAAGGTGACAGTGTATCTGAAAAACAGATATTCCATAAAGTTCATTTTCTAATTACAGATAAAAAAGGGTAATATTGAAAGAAAGTCTATTGAAAATCACATACTGAGATATAACAGTGGAAATGGCTGCACCAGTTGCACCCAAACGAAAATAATAAATATGGAGGGGCAACAAAAACACAGCTAACGAATTACCAATACCTGCACGAAAAACAATACATTGACTAAAAACAAATGGAAATCAACAAGTTGGAGACATGATTATAAATACACTGTGCAAGAATAATAGACCACTATTATGCGTGTGTTATATGGGCGTTGTGTGTGTGTGTGCGCGCCCGCGCGCGCGTAGAAAACTAGACCTTCCATCCCAAAAGCTTCAATTATTTCATATTCAATCAAAAGATGCTAAAGGCTATTAGGACATGTGTCACAAATATATAGCATTGTAGTGGATAAAAAAGTGTTACACCACTTCCCCAGTGCTCTCCCCTCAGCAAGATGCTGACAACAATAGATTAACCAGGCATTTCAGCAGTCACACAAGACAAATTCATACTGCTATCTAGAAAGGGATGTCACTTGAACGTTTAAAATATATATAACCAAAAACTTGCCTAGACATAGTACTGGAGTTTTTGTATCCTTAAATCCACGGAAAACTCCTTGAAGAGCCAAAGATGCTACAACTGCGGGAGCACCAAATGCTCTTAGTTGATGAAATCGTTGTGCTTGAATGCGCATAGGTGAGTCCTGTGATATTCGGGGGGAAAAAAAGATCTTCCTTAAATTAAACAGTCAAATATGAGAGGGGAAACCAGAAAACGTATAAGTTCCCCCCATAACCAAAAATAAAAAATCAAATTGAGTAACCGCACATGCACAAGAACTAGAAACTTGTATAGTAATTGTTCACATATATATAATTGCATTTATGCATACAAAAAAAGAAAGTTTGTATAATCATGTAAAAAGATATAAGACAAGGAAGACAAACAAATCAGTATGAGAAGTAATTTTAGATCAGGTAACCTACTGATGATATGCCCATCATATTTAGAAACAACCCAGATCCCAAAGACAGAGCCATGGCCTCAAAGATTCCAATCCCAACTGCTAACTGTAAAGCTGTAGACACTGAAGATAGCTGCTTTCTCTCAACGACTCCATCAACAGGTTTGGGTTTACCATTAGTATTGCCGTCTAGATAACCATTTTCTGTACGAAAATCAGCCAAAATCAGATTCCCAAAAAAAAAAAAAAGTTTAAGTAATCTCTGCTCTAAGTTAGACATAAAGACAGACCAAATATGTGTACAACAAAGATGACCAGGGAAGTAAAACAAAAGTTGAACTTCGCCTGAAGTAGAACCTTTACTTTCACTCTTAGCAAGGTCTTCAGCAACAAAAGATGTAGCAACACTGAGGAGAGGGATATTAAATGTCTTTGAGATATAATTAAAGATGTTCATTGAAATACCAGCTGAAGCCAATTCCACGGAACCTATGGAAAAACAGAAGCAAAATAATAAGGAGCTCCAAATTCAAATCAATTATACAGTTATCAGTCATTGAACACGTTTAAAGGAGTGAAACAAACCCAAATTGCCAATGTATGCAGTCTCCATTAGTTGTGCTAATGGATCAATGGCCTGACCCATAATTGGTAAAGAAAGCATCAATAGCTCGCTTTTGACATCTGGAGAATATGTTTCACTGATAGAAATGTTATTAAACTCTAACCCAAAACAAACAAAAAACAATGCTTAACATAGGTAGCTTAGTTCTTGGATCAACTAAAAACTATGAGTAATAATAACAATTTCAGAGATTCGCTGAAATAGACAATTCCCGATAGCTATTGACGGTAATATTTCTCATATAAGCTTCATAATCAAAATTAAGTGAATAAAAACAAAATTAACTTGCTTGCACTTATAAACCAAACCACATACGAAGGGAGGGACTAGAAGATGAAGGGATTGGGAGGCTTCCATCAAAAGTAGAAAAATTTATCTAAAGCTATCATGCTCAGTCACCAGCCACTCTACAAACTCATAATTTATTTTTTTCAAACGATAAGAGCATCAATCAAGAAAAAAAAAAGTTCACAACAATAAAAGCAGCATTTCAAGAAACTAAAGGAACAAAAATTTTAATATAACAAGGTAATGTAGGCTATAAGGTCTTACAGGTCACCACTCCCTACACCTATGAGAGCTTCCTCTTCCTCCAAAACCAACTTTCCTTCCACCTCAGAGGATCCCACACCCAAATCCGAACTCAATTGATTAGCCACCACCGGGAAACAGGGTCTTCTGCGGCGTGTCACTAGCAGTGTGCACAATGCTCTTCGTGTAGCATACAGATTGCATCCCCCCACAACATTGACATTGTTCAAATCCTTCCTACCACTTCTTGCTACAATATTACAATCTCCCCTTCTGTGCAATGAATTAAACAACCTAGACTTTTGAGTTATCGGGTTGCGGTCACTGGCTCGGGCGGTTAATCCGTTAGAAAAAGGGCGCCACTTCTGAACTGGGCGATTAATCCTCGATTAGATTAAGGAGATCACTCTACAGATTGAAACAATCCGGGCTGATGTGGTATAACCATCTAAGTGAATATTTGACAAGTCAGGGTTATGTGAACAATGAACTATGCCCATGCGTGTTCATTAAGAAGTCACATTCCAGATTTGCGATCGTTGCAGTTTATGTTGACGACATGAACCTCATCGGAACTCCTGCAGAGCTTGAGGAAATAGCCGCGCACTTGAAATCGAAATTTAAGATGAAAGATCTTGGGAAAACTCGATATTGCCTCGGCCTGGAGATCAAGCATTGTTTAAATGGAATCCTAGTACATCAATCGAATTACACCTAAAAGGTGCTACGACGTTTTAATGAGGATAAAGCGAAGCCTTCGAGTGCTTATATGGTCGTTCGGACTCTAGATGTTTAAACGAGATCCCTTCCGTTCGAAGCGAGATGAGGAAGAGATTTTGGAGCATAAAGTTCCATACCTAAGTGCGATTGGTGATTTATTGTACTTGGCTCAATGCACTAGACCCGACATCTCCTTCGCTATTAATCTTTTGGCTAGATACAGCAACACCCCTACACACAGACATTGGAATGGTGTTAAAGACATTTTCTGCTACCTCAAGGGTACGATGGATTTGGGCTTGTTCTACACCCACAAATCCTTGAGAAAAGCTGCCACCCCCCTCGGTCCTCGGGTTGATTCACGCCTCACTGGTTACGCAGATGCTAGCTATATGTTTAACCTACATAGGGCACGTTCTCAAACGGGTTATGTCTTTACCGGTTAAAAAACCGCTATATCTTGGAGGTCTACCAAGCAAACGCTAGTTGCGACTTCTTTGAACCATGTTGAGATTATCGCCCTGCATGAAGCCTCGTGAGAGTGCTTTTGGTTGAGAGCAATAATGGAACATATTCGAAGCACTAGTTGTCTTTCTCCCATCGTTGACCTTCCTATGACGATCTTTGAAGACAATGCAGCATGTATCGAGCAGTTAAAGAATGGATGCATCAAGGGAGACAACACCAAGCACATTGCACCGAAGTTCTTTTATTCTCACCAACAACAATAACATTAAAACATTGAAGTCAAGCAAATCCGTTCCCAAGACAACCTGGTCGATCTCTTCACGAAGTCATTGCCCAAGTCTACTTTTCAAAAGCTCGTCCAAGGAATCGGTAATGTAAATTATCTGGGTTGAATTGCTTGTACTTCTCTTATTTGGAAGTTATGTCTAACTCAGAGAAGTATCCTAAAGCATACTCACTTGATCTTAATGTACTCTTTTTCCTACAATTATGAGCATTTTTCCCACTGGGTTTTTGCTACCTAACGAGGTTTTGATGAGGCACCCATCCTGGGATGATCATACTCTGTTGAGTACACTATTTTCGTCCTGTTTGACGTTTGTTTTAGACATTATGCGTACTTCTAACTTTTCTCATTAGTCTATGGGTTTTCCCCATAACTTGGGTTTTACCATGGCGAGGTTTTGCGAGTTTTACTACCAATGCATACTTTCTTATATCTGAGACTCGCATTCACCCGTTGTGCCGACGACTTTATCAATCGTTCTACCTTATATGTTGAATATCTGATGCGACGTTTTGTTTGAGTATTTACACACTCAAGGGAGAGTGTTGCAATCCTATCGAATTAGGAATGCGATTGTGTAAATCCTAGTGTATTTAGGAGTACCTTGTTTTTTTTCCCAATAGTAATTTAATTCCTATTAGAGATGTAATCCTATTAGGGTAAGGATTCTACCTATCCTACTACTATAAATAAAGGCATAAGGGGGTGATACAACACACACCTCATAATTAAATCTCTCTTTTCTCTCTCTGTTGCCACCAGCCCCTCTCATTCTCTGTCCTTTATATAGTTGTTTAGGCCCAAAATATTGGTTTTGGCCAAGTTTAGAATTGTTCTCGACCCGGAAGTGTTGCTCAAGGGCCGGCCGTGTTCTATCAGGATGGGGTAGTTGAATCCTGATACAATAAGAAGTCTCGGCAGGATGAGGATGCTGAAACTTGGGAATGAATACGGCCTTATAAGGAGTTGAGTTCAAAGTCCTGATAGAAGTAGAACTGGCCGAGATAAGATTGGATCGGGGTGAGAAGTCCTAATCTGAGTATAGTTTTCATTCGATCAGAAGCATTTTTGCTACTATAAATAGAGGGAAAAGTGCATCGTTCAAGCCCCCTCCAATCCAACACACAAACTGCCCTGTGCAAACCCTCGCTTTACACAAAACCTCTCAACAACCTTGAGATTTTTATTTTCTTTTTTTGCCGACACATCTTCAGTTTAGATAAAGAGCACTGTGAAGGCAACATGTGATACCTTCAGTTTAGATAAACAACATTATCGCCGTAGAACCCAGCCGACCGCGAAACATCTTTAGTTTGGATAAACAGCACCGTGTCGAGGCCGATTGGTTATCTATCCAAGTCTCAGTCGAGAAAGACTTTTGGGTCTTTATTGGCAGAGGTCATCTCATTAGCCTTTTCGGCGAGGTGAGGTGTTCCAGTTTATTAGGGCTCAGCACATTGAACGCCGAGTTGTTTTATGATTGGATACTTGTATGTAAGCTTCAGAGTTCGGCATTCTGACGGCCGAACCACATTTACCATTAAGACATATATCTGTTTTGAGTATTTGTGCCCCTATACTCTGGTGTTTATTCAGCATGCTTATACCCTTACAAATATAATCACTATGACCGAATTTGGCGCCGACAATTTGTGAACTTTGTAAAATTAGCAACCTTGTCTTCAGGCTCTAGAACCCAAAGGTCAAGAGTGTTCTTTCCTCGGCCGCGATCGTAAGATCAAGAAGTCAGCAACGCACCTAACGCAACATCAACATATTTTACTCAGCCTAGCTCGACCAACGAGTTGTCACGCCCCACATCAACCGAAGAACGTAGTTAGCTTATTAGTTACTCGGCCTGCGCGCCACATAGGCTTGGTAGTTTTTAGGGTCAATATTTTGGCATGCCTGGTAGGACCAAGTGTTAAAACTACAAAGTTCATGACCATCGAGACACGATCCGTTAAAAAGAAAACAATGATGGGAAAGTCAACGATCGATATGCTAATTCAAAGTCCTGGACAAGAAGTGTCGCATATGCGAAATCCCCTCGTTGTTGCGACCCTTAAGGCTGTAAATGTGACACACCGAGAAAATGAGGTTTGTCTCGGTACCCAGCCCCGAAACATAGAAGTACCTAACCAAATCGTAAGAGTTTTCATTGAAGGAATAATTGAGGACTGGGACGAAGATAGTGGTGAAGGTTCTGACCCTCCAACTAGGTCGTTTCTTTGAAGACCACTTAACGAGCAATCTCGGTAGGTTAAACAGATAATTATCCAAAAGATGAACAGTTTGCTCAAGGTAATACGGAGTAATGGTGAGACATACACCTAATTGCTCGAATTATTAGTTAGCAGAGTCTTCGCAAGAGGACCTGCTGATCAGTCTCGACAATTTCCACTCAAAAGTAATCCATTACAGGTAGAAGTAGGATCTACTCAGCTCAAAACAATTGATTTGGAAAAAAAAAGATCAAGTAGTAGGTCAGATGGATCCGACCAAAGAGTAGAAGTAGCATCCGTCGATATGATCGTGGTCCAAAGGATGATCGATTCA